CTGAGCAGGGAGCCCGACGTGAAGCTCGATCCCAGGACCCTGGAATCATGAGAGAGAAGCTTAACCAACTGAGTCACCCACGCACCCCACTGCCCAATCTTTAAATAGGGTATTTTGACTCACTGATCAAGCATTTAACCAAATGAATTACTGTAAACATAAAAAAATTCTAACAACAGAACATAGTACATAAATTCAAATAAAATTTGATATTTAAACAAGTATTCCCAAAAATTACACATGTATGTCTTACTTTATGGAAAAATTAATTTTTAATAACATGATCTCTAAAATTATTCCCTTACTAATTTCCCACTATTTTCTAGTTTAAAGGGGAAGGAGTAGATGAAATAATATACCAGTCTGAAATTTTTTGTCTAAGGCCATTAGAATGCTGATAGTCATTGAAATCAAACAATTGAACACTAATTGATGATTCTGGTCACCTGTTAGTTCACATTTCCCGTATAGCAGCAACCTGAGCCTCTTTTGACTGCTATCAGCTACCCACCTCCTTCTGAACCACAGAATTTACCATAATCCCTAGCTTTATACCCACTGCTTCTGTTGTCATGATTTTGCCTTCCCTTGTTGCCTTTTAAGGCTGGACATTACTTTCACTTCTCCAGTCTAACACACGGCATTTTAGTTTTGAGGAAGGAGAATGCATAAAATGAGTTATTTCCCTGTTTTATTAGGCTTAGCACATTGTATGCTGTGCTTACTTAAAAAGAGGATTACTTGGGCACCTGGGTGGCTCAGATGGTTAAGCGTCTGCCTTCGGCTCAGGTCATGATCCCAGGGTCCTGGGATCGAGTCCTGCATCGGGGTCCCTGCTCCTTGGGAGCCTGCTTCTCCCTCTGCCTCTCTCTCTCTCTGTCTGTCTCTCATGAATAAATAAATAAAATCTTTGAAAAAAATGAAAATTATAAAAAAATTTAAAAAAAAAGGATTACTCATCGATCAAAACTCTTCAGAGTATAGGGATAGAGGGTACATACCTCAATATCATAAAAGCCATCTATGAAAAACCTACAGTGAATATCATTCTCAATGGGGAAAAGCTGAGACGTAGCCACAGCAATCAGACAACAAAAAGAAATCAAAGGCATCCAAATTGGCAAAAAGGAAGTCAAACTCTCACTCTTTGCAGATGATATGATACTTTATGTGGAAAACCCAAAAGACTCCACCCCAAAACTGCTAGAACTCATACAGGAATTCAGTAAAGTGGCAGGATATAAAATCAATGCACAGAAATCAGTGGCATTCCTATACACCAACAACAAGACAGAAGAGAGATAAATTAAGGAGTCGATCCCATTTACAATTGCACCTAAAACCATAAGATACCTAGGAATAAATCTAACCAAAGAGGCAAAGAGCCTGTACTCAGAAAACTATAAAATACTCATGAAAGAAATTGAGGAAGACACAAAGAAATGGAAAAATGTTCCATGCTCATGGATTGGGAGAACCAACATTGTGAAGATGTCAATGCTACCTAGAGCAATCTACATATTCAATGCAATCCCCATCAAAATACCATCTACTTTTTTCAAAGAAATGGAACAAATAATCCTAAAATTTGTATGGAACCAGAAGAGACCCCAAATAGCCAGAGGAGTGTTGAAAAAGAAAAGCAAAGCTGGTGGCATCACAATTCTGGACTTCCAGCTCTATTACAAAGCTGTCATCATCAAGACAGTATGGTACTGGCACAAAAACAGACACATAGATCAGTGGAACAGAATAGAGAGCCCAGAAATGGACCCTCAACTCTATGGTCAACTAATCTCTGACAAAGCAGGAAAGAATGTCCAATGGAAAAAAGACAGTCTCTCCAACAAATGGTGTTTGGAAAATTGGACAGCCACACGCAGAAGAATGAAACTGGACCCTTTCCTTACACCACACACAAAAATAGACTCCAAATGGTTGAAAGACCTAAACGTGAGACAGGAATCCATCAAAATCCTAAAGGAGAACACAGGCAACCCCTTCGACCTCAGCCGCAGCAACTTCTTCCTAGAAATATCGCCAAAGGCAAAGGAAGCAAGGGCAAAAATGAACTATTGGGATTTCATCAAGATAAAAAGCTTTTGCACAGCAAAAGAAACAGTCCACAAAACCAAAAGACAACCGACGGAATGGGAGAAAATGTTTGCAAATGACATATCAGATAAAGGGCTAGTATCCAAAATCTATAAAGAACTTCTCAAACTCAACACCCAAAGAACAAATCATCCAATCAAGAAATGGGCAGAAGACATGAACAGACATTTTTCCAAAGAAGACATCCAAATGGCCAACAGACACATGAAAAAGTGTTCAACATCGCTCGGCATCAGGGAAATCAAAATCAAAATCTCAATGAGATACCACCTCACACCAGTCAGAATGGCTAAAATTAACAAGTCAGGAAACGACAGATGTTGGCGGGGATGCGGAGAAAGGGGAACCCTCCTACACTGTTGGTGGGAATGCAAGCTGGTGCAACCACTCTGGAAAACAGTATGGAGGTTCCTCAAATAGTTGAAAATAGAGCTACCATATGATCCAGCAATTGCACTACTGGGTATTTACCACAAAGATACAAATGTAGGGATCCGAAGGGGTACGTGCACCCCAATGTTTATAGCAGCAATGTCCACAATAGCCAAACTGTGGAAAGAGTCAAGATGTCCACTGACAGATGAATGGATAAAGAAGATGTGGTATATATACACAATGGAATATTATGCAGCCATCAAAAGGAATGAGATCTTGCCATTTGCAACGACATGGATAGAACTGGAGGCTGTTATGCTGAGTGAAATAAGTCAATCAGAGAAAGACATGTATCATATGACCTCACTGATATGAGGAATTCTTAATCTCAGGAAACAAACTGAGGGTTGCTGGAGTGGTGGGGGTTTGGGAGGGATGGGGTGGCTGGGTGATAGACATTGGGGTGGGTATGTGCTATGGCGAGTGCTGTGAATTGTGCAAGACTGTTGAATCACAGATCTGTACCTCTGAAACAAATAATGCAGTATATGTTAAGAAAAAAAAAGAAGAAGAAGATAGCAGGAGGGGAAGAATAGAAGGGGGGAAATCGGAGGGGGAGACCAACCATGAGAGACGATGGACTCTGAAAAACAAACTGAGGGTTCTAGAGGGGAGGGGGTTGGGGGGATGGGTTAGCCTGGTGATGGGTATTAAAGAGGGCACGTTCTGTGTGGAGCACTGGGTGTTATACACAAACAATGAATCATGGAACACTACATCCAAAACTAACGATGTAATGTATGGTGATTAACATAACAATAAAAAATTAAAAAAAAAGAGGATTACTCACACTATATATAACATCCGAAGATGTCATATAAAGGCCGTTATTGGATTCATAAAGCTTTCCTTATATAGCCAGGATCATCATAAGGTGTATTTGTGAGGTGTAAATGGAAGAACCTTTCCTATATCTAGTCAGTGCTGTTCCTAATCTCTGCCAGGCTTAAAAAAAAAAAAATCTGCATTAAACACACACACACACACACACATCAGTATTCCTCATTAGCAAATAATTCTTTGTTCATCAGTGATTGATACTACCAAAATGATTACTTAAGAGCCACGGATTTTTTTCAGCTTTACATTTTAGTGAATCATCAGATAGCTTAACTTAAAAGTTATCTCACTAACTACCTGAGTCCCCAAAAGTTATGAAAATAGTGCAGATTCAATCACCTTCATATATTTGCTGAGACAGAGAAAGAGCCATGCTCGCCATAAAACTAAATTCTTTTTTTAAAGAGAGAATGATGATGCTTATCACCAAATTATAAGACTAAATTATTTTGAAATTATCTAAATAAGTCCTCCAAGACCACTTAGAAAAGGAACACTACTTAAACAGTTGCTCAGTTGTGTGTTATTTAAAAGTTACATCATCGGTTCTATATATTGGCTTGCACAGGATTCCTTTCTATTCTCAATAAAACAAAAGCAACTCAGCTTCTGCTGCTGCTATAATTGGTACTTCAAAAAATAAAGAAAAGAATATCTACCCTTCCATCCTTCCTGGTCCCTTGTTCCCCAAATGAGGGGATTACTTGAGGAAACTGAATCCTTTGCTCCAATCACACATCTGACCTTGAAGATGTAATTTCCAACCTACATTAGGATCTATATTTACACAGACTTTATGAGAACATGGATGAGAATTCTATTTTTAGAAACAATGAACTCATAAGGAAACTAAAAAGTTTATTCCAAGTAAATATATTTGGGGAGTGTTCTCTCTCTACTTAAGCACAGGAGATTTTTCTAGTTTGGGAGGAAGCTATCCTCTGCCCTGAAGGATGAATTTTGTTCCTTATTACATACAAACTCATTTTTCCTGGAAGGAATTTTTTAAGACTTCCTTGTGTATCTCCCTGTCTCCTGAGTAAATGAATTTTTCAGGTTTCTAAGGAAAAAATGCTACATATTGTCTGTGAGAAAGTATTCTACACTTTTTCCTCCCCTTGTCCTTGGGTCTGTTGGCTGCCATCTTCAATCCAGTGAAGTACATAGACGGTGGGCACCAAAATTCCTGTGTGCCCATGAGATGGGAAGTGAGTTCACTCAGCTGCAATGGTTGGGTCACCTTAGAATCCCTTTTTGCCACCCCTTCTTGAAACACTGCCTGTCAAGTCCCCACGACCCCTCAGGGAGGCTACCTGTGCCTGCCTTCAGCACTTTGAAGGGGAGCAGCAGAAAAATGGATCCATATCCCAGGAAGTTCTAGAAGAGCCTCTGCTATTCTTAGAGTCTAAAGAAGGGAAAGGGCTAGCCAAATAGTTTCTCGCATTTCAAAGAAAGGCTTCCTGCTTCTCTCAATTCTCATACAACTTTCTGTGGAACTTTACAGAGAACGTTCAATAAATTCTCCCTTCCCTTCTCCCCAGAATCAGAAAAATGAAGAGGTTACATAGCAGAAATAACTCCAGGTTGCAGTCCTGGAACTGGTCCTTGCATTGTCACTCACTTGCTCTGTGATATTGTGAAAGCCACTTACTCAAAGGAATTTCCACGTGCCCACCTGCAAATTGCTGTGGCAACTGTATCAGTCTGAGTTCCACCAGAGAAAACCTGTAGGACATAGATAGTGAGAAACTGATTACAAAGAATTGACTTACACAATTCTCGGGGCTAGTGAGGCGGGTCTGAAGGCTATCAAGAAGTGGGGCTAGACCTCTGGATGAGAGCTGAGGCTTCTAGAATTTCATGTTCAGGGAACCTTCAGCTCTGCTCTTAAGGCCTTCAACTTTTTGGATTGTGCCCACGCAGATTCTAGCACAATCTCCCTTGCTTAAAGACAACTGATTGGAGACTTGAGTCCCATCTTCAAAATACCCCACAATACCTAGATGAGCATTTGATTGAGTAACTGGGGACTGTAGCCTCACCACGTGGACACATCAAACTGACCTTCACATGAATGTTTGTCCTTGCCGAGCCCCAGGCCTGTGAAATGATGAGCCACACTTCCCATACCTGGGAGGTTTGAAACTTGCTCTCTCTCTTTTTTTAAATTTACTTTAGTTGTATTTAAATTCAATTAACAGATAGTGTATTATTAGTTACAGAGGTAGAGTTCAGGGATTCATCAGTTGCATATAACACCCAGTGCTCATCACATTACATGCCATCCTTAATATGCAAACCCCCCACCCACCTCCCCTCCAGCAACTCTGTTTGTTTCCTAGAATTATAGTTCCCCTTTCTCCACATCCTCGCCAATATCTGTCATTTGCTGACTTGTTAATTTTAGCCATTCTGACTGGTGTGAGGTGGTATCTCATTGTGGTTTTGATTTGGATTTCCCTGATGATGAGTGATGTTGAAATTTTTTCATATGTCTGTTGGCCATTTGTATGTTTTCTTTGGAGAAATGTCTGTTCATGCCTTCTGCCCATGTCTTGACTGGATTTTTTTTCTTGGGTGTTGAATTTGATAAGTTCTTTATAGATCTTGGATACTAGCCCTTTATCTGATAAGATATTTGCAAACATCTTCTGCCATTCCATAGGTTGCTTTTTAGTTTAGTTGACTATTTCCTTTGCTGTGTAAAAGCTTTTCATCTTGATGAAGTCCCAATAGTTCATTTTTGCTTCTGTTCTCTTGTCTTTGGAGATGTGTCTAGCAAGAAGTTGCTGCAGCCGAGGTCAAAGAGGTGGCTGCCTATGTTCTCCTCTAGGATTTTGATGGATTCCTTCCTCACATTTAGGTCTGTTAGGAATTTTGAGTTTATTTTTGTGTGTGGTGTAAGAAAATGGCCTAGTTTCATTCTTCTGCATGTGGTTGTCCAATTTTCCCAGCACCAGTTGTTGAAAAGACTGTCTTTTTTCCATTGGATATTCTTTCCTGCTTTGTTGAAGATTAGTTGACCATAGAGTTGAGGGTCATTTCTGAGTTTTCTATTCTGTTCCATTGATCTATGTGTCTGTTTTTGTGCCAGTACCATACTGTCTTGATGATTCCAGCTTTGTATTAGAGCTTGAAGTCTGGCATTGTGATGCCACCAGCTTTGATTTTCTTTTTCAACATTCCTCTGGCTATTCAGGGTCTTTTCTGGTTCCATACAAATTTTAGGATTATTTGTTTTAGCTCTGTGAAAAATGTTGATGGTATTTTGATAGAGATTGCATTGAATGTGTAGATTGCTCTGGGTAGCATAGACACTTTAACGATATTTGTTCTTCCAATCCATGAGCATGGAATGTTTTTCCATTTCTTTGTGTCTCCTTAATTTCTTTCATAAGTGTTCTGTAGTTTTTAGAGCACAGATTCTTTACTCTTTAGTTAGATTTATTCCTAGGTATCTTATGGTTTTTTGGTGCAATTGTAAATGGGATCGATTCCATCAATTTCTCTTTCTTCAGTCACATTGTTAGTGTTCAGAAATGCAACTGATTTCTGTGATTGATTTTTATATCCTGCCACTTTGCTGAATTCCTGTATGAGATCTAGCAATTTTGGGGTAGAGTCTTTTGGGTTTTCCACTTACAGTATCATGTCATCTGCAAAGAGCGAGAGTGGCTTCTTCTTTGCCAATTTGGATGATTTTATTGATTTTTGTTTTCTGATTACTGAGGCTAGGACTTCTAGTACTATGTTGAACAATAGCGGTGAGAGTGGACATCCCTGTCATGTTACTGACTGTAGGGGGAAAAGCTCTCAGTTTTTTTCTGATGGGGATGATATTTGCTGTGGTCTTTCATGATATTGAGGTACTTTCTTCTTTCCCTACAGGGTGGATTGTTTTTATCAAGAAAGGATGCTGTATTTTGTCAATTGCTTTTTCTGCATCTATTCACAGGATCATATGGTACTTGTCCTTTCTTTTAATTAATGTAGTGTACCACATTGATTGATTTGCAGATGTTGACCCACCCTTGCAGCCCAGGAATAAATCCCACTTGGTCGTGGTGAATAATCCTTTTAATGTACTGTTGGATCCTATTGGTTAGTATCTTGGTGAGAATTTTGGCATCCATGTTCATCAGATATATTGGTCTGTAATCTCCTTTTGGATGGGGTCTTTGTCTGGTATTTGGATCAAGGTAATGCTGATCTCATAGAATGAGTTTGGAAGTTTTCTTTCCATTTCAATTTTTTGAAACAGCTTCAGAAGAGTAGGTAGTAATTTTTCTTTAAATGTTTGGTAGAATTCTCCTGGAAAGCCATCCAGATCTGGACTCTTATTTGTTGGGTGATTTTTTATTACTACTTCAATTTCCTTGCTGGTTATGGGTCTGTTCAAGTTTTCTTCTTTCTTCCTGTTTCAGTTTTGGGAGTTTATATGTTTCTCGGAATGCATCCATTTCTTCCAGATTGCCTAATTTGTTGGCATATAGTTTCTCATAATATATTCTTATAATTGTTTCTATTTCTTCAGTGTTGGTTGTAATCTCTCCTCTTTCATTCATGATTTAATGTATTTGGGTCCTTTCTCTTTTCTTTTTGATAAGTCTGCATAGGGGCTTATTGATCTTACAAATTCTTTCAAGGAACAAGCTCCTAGTTTTGTTGATTGGTTCTATTGTTCTTTTGGTTTCTATTTCATTGATTTCTGCTCTAATCTTTATTATTTCTCTTCTCCTGCTTGGTTTAGGCTTTATCTGCTGTTCTTTCTCCAGGTTGTGTATTTGAGACTTTTCTTTTTTCTTGAGAAAGACCTGTATTGCTATATACTTCCCTCTTAGGATCGCCTTTGCTGCATCCCAAAGGTTTTGAACAGTTGTATCTTCATGTTCATTTGTTTCCGTGAATTTTTTAAAATTCTTCTTTAATTTCCTGGTTGACCCATTCATTCTTGAGCAGGATGTTCTTTAACCTCCATGTATTTGAGTTCCTTCCAAATTTCCTCTCGTGATTGAGTTCAAGTTTTAAAGCTTTGTGGTCTGGGAATATGCAGGGAATAATCCCAATCTTTTGGTATAGGTTGAGACCCGATCTGTGACCCAGTATGTAATCTATTCTGCAGAATATTCCATGTGCACTCAAGAAGAATGTGTATTCTGTTGCTTTAGGATGAAATGCTCTGAATATACTTGTGAAGTCCATCTGGTCCAGTATGTCATTCAAAGTCCTTCTTTCCTTGTTGATCTTCTGCTTAGATGATCTGTCCATTGCAGTGAGTGGGTGTTAAAGTCCCCTACTATTATTGTATTATTATCCATGTGTTTCTTTAATTTTGTTATTAACTGGTTTATATAATTGGCTTTTCCCCAGTTAGAAGCATAAATATTTATAATTGTTAGTTCTTCTTGTAGGATAGACCCTTTAAATATGATACAGTGTCCCTCTTCATCTCTTATCACAGTCTTTGGCTTAAAATCTAATTTGTCTGATATAAGGATTGATACACCAGCTTTCTTTTGATGTCCATTAGCATGATAAATGGTTCTCCGCCCCCTCACTTTCAATCTGGGAGTGTCTTTGGGTCTAAAATGAGTCTCTTGTAGACAGCATATCAATGGGTCTTGTTTTTTTAATTCAATCTGATACCCTATGTCTTTTGATTGGAGGATTTAGCCCATTTACTTTCAGAGTAACTATTGAAAGATATGAATTTAGTGCCATTTTATTACCTGTAAGGTCAGTATTTCTGTATATTGACTCTGTTCCTTTCTGGTCTATGTTACTTTTGGGCTCTCTCTTCCCTTAAAGGATACCTTTTAATATTTCTTGCAGGGCTGGTTTAGTGATCGCAGACTCTTTTAGTTTCTGTTTCTCCTGAAGCTTTATCTCTCCTATTATGAATGACAGCCTTGCTGGATAAAGTATTCTGGGCTGCATATTTTTCTCATTTAGCACCCTGAACATATCATACCAGCAATTTCTAGCCTGCCACATCTCTGTGGATAGGTCTGCTGCCAGTCTTATGTTTCTACCCTTGTAGGGTAAGGACCTCTTGTCCCAAGCTGCTTTCAGGATTTTCTCTTTGTCTCTGAAATTTGCAAGCTTCACTATTCTATGTTAAGGTGTTGACCTATTTTTATTTATTTTGAGGGGGGTTGTCTGTGCCTCCTGGACTTGGATGCCTGTTTCCTTCCCCAGATTAGGGAAGTTCTTAGATATAATTTGCTCAAATAAACCTTCTGCCCCTGTCTCTCTCTTTCCTCTTCCTCTGGGACCCCAACTGTTCTAATATTGTTTTGCTTTATGGTATCACTGATCTCTTGAATCCTCCCCTCATAATTCAGTAATTGTTTATCTCTCTTTATCTCAGTTTCTTTATTCTCCATCATTTTGTCTTCTATTCTTCTATATCACTGCCTCTCTCTTCTGTGTTGTTTATCCTAGCAATTAGAACCTCCATTTTTTTATTGTATCTCAGTAATAGCCTTTTTGATTTTCACCTGATTAGATTTTAGTTCTTTCATTTCTCCAGTAAAGGATTCTCTAGTGTTTTCTATGCTTTTTTCAAGCCCAGCTACTATGTTTATTTCACTTAGCATAATACCTTCTAGGTCCATCCATGTTGTCACAAATGGCAAAATATCATCCCTTTTTTATGCCACATAACATTCCATTGTGTATATATACTACATCTTTCTTATCCATTTACCAATCAAGGGACATTTGGGTTGCTTCCATAGCCTGGCTCTTGTAAATAATGCATATATCTTTTTAAAATTAGTGTTGTCATTTTCTCTGGGCAAATACCCAGCAGTGGAATTATTGGATCATATGGTAGTTCTATTTTTAATTTTTTGAGTAACCTCCATACTGTTTCCACAGTGGCTGCACCAGTTTGCATTCCCACCAACAGTGCACAAGGGTTCCTTTTTCTCCACATCCTCACCAGCACTTGTTATTTCTTGTCTTTTTTATTTTAGCCATTCTGACAGGTGTGAGGTGATATCTCATTGTGGTTTTGATTTGCATTTCCCTTTAAGATGAGTGATGTTGAGCATCTTTCCATGTGTCTGTTGGCCATCTGTATGTCTTCTTTGGAAAAATGTCTATTCAGTTCCTCTGCCCATTTTTTTAAATTTAATTTAATTTTATTATGTTATGTTAGTCATTAGTTTTTGATGTAGTGATTCACGATTCATTGTTTTCATATAACATCCAGTGCTCCATGCTGTACATGCCCACCTTAATACCCATCACCAGGCTGATCCAAACTCCCATCCCCCTCCCCTCTAAAACCCTTAGTTTGTTTCTCAGAGTTCATAGTCTCTCATGGTTTGTCTCTCCCTCTGATCTCCCCCCCTTCATTTTTCCCTTCTTTCTCCTAATGTCCTCCATGCTATTCCTTATGTTCCACAAATAAGTGAAACCATATGATAATTGACTTTCTCTGCTTGACTTATTTCACTTAGAATAATCTCCTCCAGTCCCATCCATGTTGATATAAAAGTTGGGTATTCATCCTTTCTGATGGCTGAGTAATATTCCATTGTATATATGGACCACATCTTTATCCATTCATCTGTTGAAGGGCATCTTGGCTCTTTCCACAGTTTGGCTATTGCAGACATTGCTGCTATGAACATTGGGGTGCATATGGCCGTTCTTTTCACTACATCTGTGTCTTTGGGGTAGATACCCAGTAGCGTAATTGCTGGGTCATAGGGTACCTCTATTTTTAATTTTTTGAGGAACCTCCACACTGTTTTCCAAAGTGGCTATACCAACTTGCATTCCCACCAACAGTATAAGAGGGTTCCCCTTTCTCCACAACCTCTCCAACATTTGTTGTTTTCTGCCTTGTCAATTTTTGCCATTCTGACTAGTGTAAGGTGGTATTTCAATGTGGTTTTGATTTGAATTTCCCTGATGGCTAATGATGATGAACATTTTTTCATGTGTCTGTTAGCCATTTGTCTGTCTTTGGAGAAGTGTCTGTTCATGTCTTCTGCCCATTTTTTGACTTGATTATTTGTTTTTGGGGGTGTTGAGTTTGAGAAGTTCTTTATAGATCTTGGAAATCAGTGCTTTGTCTGTAGTGTCATTTGCAAATATCTTCTCCCATTTTGTGGGTTGCCTCTTTGTTTTGTTGACTGTTTCCTTTGCTGTGCAGAAGCTTTTTATCTTGATGAAGTCCCAAAAGTTCATTTTTGCTTTTGTTTCACTAGCCTTTGGAGATGTATCTTGAAAGAAGTTGCTGTGGCCCATGTCGAAGAGGTTAGTGCCTATGTTCTCCTCTAGGATTCTGATGGATTCCTGTCTCACATTGATGCCTTTCATCCATTTTCAGTTTATCTTTGTGTATGGTGTTAGAGAATGGTTGAGTTTCATTCTTCTGTATATAGCTGTCCAATTTTCCCAGCACCATTTTTTGAAGAGACTGTCTTTTTTCCATTGCATATTTTTTCCTGCTTTGTTGAAGATTATTTGACCATAGACTCTTCAGAGTATAGGTTAGAGGGAACATTCCTCAAGTTCGTAAAAGCCATCTATGAAAAACCCACAGCAAATATCATCCTCAATGGGGAAAAGCTGAGAACACTTCCCTTAAGATCAAGAACACAACAAGGATGCTCACTCTCACCACTATTGTTCAAAATAGTACTAGAAGTCCTAGCAACAGCAATCAGACAACAAAAAGAAATAAAGTTATTAAAATTGGCAAAGAAGTCAAACTCTCTCTCTTCACAGATGACATGATACTTTATGTGGAAAACCCAAAAGACTCCACCCCCAAATTACTAGAACTCATACAGCAATGTAGTTATGTGGCAGGATACAAAATCAATGCACAGAAATCAGTTGCTTTCTTATACACTAACAATGTAACTGTAGAAAGAGAAATTAGAGAATCGATTCCATTTACAATAGCACCAAAAACCGTAAGATACCTCGGAATAAACCTAATCAAAGAGATAAAGGATCTATACTCTAGGAACAACAGAACACTCATGAAAGAAACTGAAGAAGACACAAAAAGATGGAAAAACATTTCATGCCCATGGATCGGAAGAATAAACATTTTTAAAATGTCTATGCTACCCAGAGCAATCTATACCTTCAACGCCAACCTGATCAAAATTCCAATGACATTTTTCAAAGTGCTGGAACAAACAATCTTACAATTTGTATGGAATCAGAAAAGACCCCAAATTGCCAAGGAAATGTTGAAAAAGAAAAACAAAGCTGGGGGCATCACGTTGCCTGATTTCAAGCTATATTACAAAGCAGTGATCACCAAGACAGCATGGTACTGGCACAAAACAGACATATAGACCACTGCAACAGAATAGAGAGCCCAGACATGGACCCTCAACTCTATGGTCAAATAATCCTCTGCCCATTTTTTAAGTTAACTTGCTCTTTTAGAAACGTGAGCAGTTGTATGAAAATGAACCCAATGAATATTAAATTCTAAACTGCTAACCTCATACAAATTCTCCCATATTTGCTAAAGTACATACCTATAATTCCACTTAGTTGTAACCAGTGTATAGTAACTTATCTTCTGGTATTTTCACCTAACTTTATTTCCTTTGGGCATGTCCTGGTATAGACATTTTCCAAATATTTGTCATTTTTTCCAATTAATTTATAGCATTCATTCATGTTAATATGCTATAGTTTTAAGTCATAGCCCCTTTTTAGCCATTTGCATAGTTCCAAGTGTTTGCCATTTAAAAAGCACTACTAGAACATATTTATACAAACAATTTTTTAAATTTCGTTAATAAAAAAACATTCTTACTACTTCTTTTGTAGATGCTGTAATTACACACTTCCTGCTCATCACCTGACACAGGTGAAAGGAAGAATCTCACCTCTACTTCCATGCATGTATGTAGTACCAGGTCTCCCAAAGAACTCCTCTGGCAGGCTGGATCTAAGAAGGGGTTTGCAGGGTTGGAAGTTGGAAGAAAGGAAGTATTTTCATTATTCGAGTTTAGATTCTGCATATGATAATGGTGTACTTACTGCTGTTAGCTGTACTTGGACTAATTATCCTTTCCTTCTGACTTAGCATGGATTTATAAAATCAGTGATCTTTTAGAGCACGTTTTCTGATCCAGCAAATGACCCTCTGTTGGTTCACTACCCTCTCAAGGGTTTCCCAGGTATAATCTGAAAATGGAACCCTTGTATATGGAGGGCAGAGAGAGACCAAAGAAAGAGGAGGCCACTCCCGATTGGCAGGTGGTAGTTTTAACAAGGAAAGGGAACTTACATACGAGTCTTGTCTTGGGTGGCAGCAAGAAGAGTGGATTCCCGCCTCTGCCTGCCAAATCTTATAAAGTTTATAAAAAGGCCCTAACCAGGTTTAATCATGTATACCATGCAGGTGTTCTCAATATCACACCACAATCTCAAGACTAGGTCCTTGGAGTGGTCTCTGGGAGTGGGAAAAGAAAGTGAACCCCACATTCCAAGGAGGGGGTTGGTGAGGAGCCTCTGAGTGTCCAGTTTGAGCTCACAGGTCAACTGGCAGTTATGTCTTTTTGATGACCTTCCCCAACATTCTACTCCTCATGACTGGCTCTTTATGATCTCACACACACCCCCTTTCACAATGGGCCCTGAGCAGTCAGCAAGGGGTTTTGTTATCATGGAGGTGGCCCCTTTAGTGGTTATCTGGTTGCATTGGAGGCAGATGTCACGCCAACACAGGCACATGTAAAAGAAAACACAGATTAAGATAATAATTCCAAAATCACTGATAACTTTCCATAAGAGCCCATGATCCAAACCACTGATTCATCAAGTCCCCTAGGTTGGGAGTCAAATCACTCAGGGAGTTCACTGTGGCCTCATGTGATTTAATAAACGTGATACATTAGTATACTCATCAAAGTATGAACACACAACATTCTGTTTGGATATGACACAGATCCCTCCTTGTAAGGCAGTAATAAGGTCTAAAGCCATCCTATTTTGGAGGATAGCTTTTATCATCAAAGACATTTCAGTGTTCAGTAAAGACAGGCTTTGTTGGCTATCATTTAAGTCTTGCTGGGTGAATTTAGTAAGAACTTCTTTGGGTGCTATAACATCTTCCAGGCCAGTGGAGGGAACAAAGATGGTGGCCAAATGATCAAACCAGTGGGAAACAGAATGCACTTACCTGGCCTTGAGGAGAGGGAGGTTGAGAAGTTTAGAAACTTGACCTGGTTGTATATGTCATGCATGTTGGTGAGAGGAGGCAGCATTGTTAGGCAGGAGGAGGTGGACTAGGAGAGGGATATGACAGACCAGGACCCTCATCTTTTCCCCTTTTGATGGTGCACGTTCCATTCCAGGTATAGCGTCTTTTAACAGGTCCAGGTTGGAGCAGGATAATAGGATCCTGGTGGGAATTGAGTAGCTCTCCCTCACCAAGGGATACAAAGTAACTATCCCAAGCGGGAGGTCTCATTGCAATTTCTGGTAGATAATTCCTTTCTCAGTTGTGATGGGTCTTGCTGTTCTCAACAGGATAGCGTTGATCCACAGTGAGAATTGGGACAATGGCTGGTTCCCACAACTTCTTCATGGTATTGGGTGCTTCAGCAGGGGTCCCCAATTTAGGATATGGAGCAATAAGCCCTACTAGATGATCATTCAAATGTATTAAAGCCTCGGACAACACTTTAGTCCACCAGCCAAGGTGGTTTTACTTGTAAACGATTTAATTTTTTTTAAAGATTTTTTTTTTTTATTGAGAGAGAGAGAATGGTAGAGAGAGAGCATGAGAGGGAAGAAGGTCAGAGGGAGAAGCAGACTCCCTGCCGAGCAGGGAGCCCGATGCGGGACTTGATCCTGGGACTCCAGGATCATGACCTGAGCCAAAGGCAGTCGCTCAACCAACTGAGCCACCCAGGCGCCCGTAAACAGTTTAATTTGCTGCTTTTGTATTCCATTTTTTCCTTCTACCAACCCTGCTGTTTATAGGTTATATGGAAGATGGAACCTCCATTCAATGTCATGTTCCTTTGCCCACTCTTGCATGTCATGACATGTGACCCCTAATGATCATCTAGTCAAGGAGGGCATCCATATGTGGTACTTAGCTTCTTTACTCCTAACAGTGGCAGCCTGGTTTGCATAGAAACAGTGGAAAGCTTTGGGTCAGGCCAGACATAGTGTCCACACAAACCAAGGCATATTTAGAACCTCATTCAGAGGGAGGGAGCCAACATGATCAATTTGCCAATCCCTCATTGGTTGGGAACTTCAGTGAATGGTCCCAGATTCTTCTGACATCTTCCTTGGGCATTGTTTAAAATACATAGGACAAGCTGTTATTGTATTAACCAAGTCACTATACCTCAAAGGCAATCCAGCATCCTTGGCAATATGCCATCCTACTCGGGCATTGTGATGGCCACTCTTTCTACACACCCAACCTGCTGTATCTACTGAAGAGTTGGTAATAGGGCTTGTACCTGAGCTAGGACATCAGCTTCCTGATTGCCAAGGGGTATAAGTGCCTTATGAGCTGGAGCATGAAAAACAGTGAGGGCTACCTTAGGCTCTTGCAGGTGTACCCAAATGTCTTTCCACATATTTTGCTCCCACGAGGGGTATTTATGATCATCTACCACTTAACTTTCCATTGTCCAAGCTATAAGGGTCAATTAATCCTTTTGGAACAAACTAACTGTCAGGGCAAAAGGTTAATGGCCAGAGTTCATGAGTAATCACCAGCCAGACTACTCTGCATCCATCCCACTGGCTGCCGCACTGGTTGCTCTGTGGGTGGTTTACCTGGAGGAGAACTATGTACACTGCCAGGAGCTGGTGCTCTGTGAGGGTATATTGGCTCTCTGCCCCCTAGGAGCATTCTCCCATTTTGTTGTCTCTGCCACAGTGTTTGACACATACCTTCCAGGATAGTATTTTTGCCTTCTCAAAGGCAGCTTGCTGCTTTGATCACCGGTCCCACACATGCCTTTCTTTACCAGGTGCCATAAAGGATGGAGGCACTATGCCAGGTAAGGAATTAAAGTCCTCCAAACTCCCAAAATCCCTACTAGGGCTTGCACCTTATTAATCACAGCTTACCAGGCCAAACAACTCCCAAAACAACCTTACAGCAGTGTCTGGGCATTGAACTTTCTGTAGGTTCATTGCCCATCCTCTCCCTCATAGGTGTTCCAGCAAAGCCTGTAGGGTGTCCTGCAGCAAAGGCAGATCTTTACAGGTTAACATGATATCATCAATGTAATGGGCCCATTATACTGATGTAGGGAAGAACAGGAACAGGTCTCAGGCTACCATCCCATGACATACTGTGGGGCTATGCAGGTAGCCTTGGGGAAGCACTTGAAAGGTTCATTATTATCTCTCCCACAAGAAGGCAAATTGATGTTAGCTATCAGAAACTTGTACTTGTCAAAAATCTTTTTCATGAATTTCTTTGAAGTGAAGCACTTTTGCAGGAACACTTTTTGCCAAAGCATCAGAGCAAAATAACTGTCTGTGAACAAAAGACTTAAAAATGGCCGTGGTTAAAGATCTGATGAGACGTTATTATTTATGACAGTATTATTTATGATAGTTATTATTTATGACTACAGCAATCTGTATTTTGAAAAGCCTTCCTCCTATCCTTTTTTTCCTTCAGTGTCCCTGGGCAATGTCTCGGTTATCCTCTAGCGTGCTTACATTTCAAAGACATGATAAGATTTTCAACTTTCATAGGACAGAGAAAGAATGCAAGTTTTCTCCTAGGAGTTTTGGGGTAACTGACATTGAAAATTTTCTTCATAATAGGGGCCAGAAGACATGGGGCATTTTATCTGTTTTTTTCATCAATTACCATAACATCCTCCTCTTCATTTTCATCACTTTGTCAGAGATCCTACTTCTTAGCATTGTAACTTTGTCACAGATACCCAGATCTTCATCTGATGAATCCTAGGCCTTCCTAGCTTTGGAGAACATATGCCAAGGCTTCTCACTTCTCATCCTGCTCTCCCACTGTCTGCCAGCCATGAAGATACCAGAGTATCAGACATTCACACATCCTTCTCTAATCTCAGCTGTTCTAATTTTCTTTTATTTATTTTTATTTTTATTTATTTAGAGAGAGAAAGAGTGCACACAAGTGGGGATGAGGGGAGGGGCAGAGGGAGAGAGAAAATCTTAAGCAGGCTCCCCACTCAGCATGGAGCCCATCCTGGGCTTGATCTCACAACCCTGAGATCATGACCTGAGCCAAAATCAAGAGTTAGATGCTTAACCAACTGAGCCATCCAGGCACCCCTCAGCTGTTATAATTTTCTACTTCAAGCTCCAGCCTCTAGTTGGGCACAGTGGCCACCAAACTGCCCACAATAGAAACTAGCCCACTGTAACAACTATGAGCTTCCTTTCTCTTCTGCATTTCCCAGGTGTCTGCATACTTACATGGTGGTCCACAAGCATCTGTCATACAGGCCACCCCTCCCCACATAGAGACCTATGTCCAACTTGGGATTTTCCCAAGGATGCCTCACTCCCCAGGCTCATTTCCTCCATCTTCTGGCTGGTTAACTAATTGTTGGGTCACAACCAGCTCAGAGCTTCCTGTGTATAATATGAAATTCTCCCCCATATGTAGAGGGCAGGGAGAAACCAAAGAAAGAGGAGGTCACTCCAGGTTCGTAGGTGGCAGTTTTAATAAGTAAAGGGAACTTACATATGAGTCTTATCTTGGGCAACATCAAGATGAGTGGATCCCTACCTCTGCTTGCCAAATTTTAAAAGGTTATTAAGAGGCCCTAACTAAAGAACCTGTATGTCCATCAACAGATGAATGGATAAAGAAGATGTCACACACACACACACACACACACACACACACACACACACAGGACTATTACTCAGCCATCAAAAAGAATGAAATCTTGCCATTTGCAATGACATGGATGGAACTCTATAGAGGGTATTATGCTAAGCGAAATAAGTCAATCAGAGAAAAACAATTATCATGTGATTTCACTCATATGTAGAATTTAAGAAACAAAACAGATGAACATAATAGAAGAGAAGGAAAAATAAGATAAAAACAGAGAGGGAGGCAAACTATAGGAGACTCAACTCTAAGAAACAAACTGAAGGCTGCTGGAGGGGTGGTGGGTAAGGAGGATGGGGTAACTGAGTGATGGGCATTAAGGAGGGCACTTGATGTAATGAGCACTTGGGTGTTATATGAAACTGATGAATCATGAAATTCTACCCCTGAAACTAATAGTACAGTATATATATTTTTTTATTTTTTTATTAACATAATGTATTATTTGTTTCAGGAGCACAGGTCTGTGATTCATCAGTCTTACACAATTCACAGCACTCACCATAGCACCCTCCCCAATGTCCATCACACAGCCACCTTATCCCTCCTACCCCACTCCACTCCAGCAACCCTCAGTTTGTTTCCTGAGATTAAGAGTCTCTTATGGTTTGGGGTGCCTGGGT